GCTCTTGCAGTCATTTTTACAGGACGACCACGCCTAGGGAGAGTAGCAACAGTGCTAAACTTTCTCCATTTGTAGACAGTCTGTCTTACCGTGGACACATGAACATCAAGGCTTTTGGAGATACTTTTGTAACCCTTTCCAGCTTCATGCAAGTCAACAATTCTTGACCGTAGGTCTTCCGAGAGCTCTTTTCTGCGAGCCTCTTTTAAATCCAATTTTATAGTACTGTGTTTCCCGAAAGTAAGACCCGGTCTTATATTATTTTTGCCTCCAAAAGAGGCATTAGGTCTTATTTTGGGGGATGTCTTATATTTTTCGTGACACCTGCCTCACCTCGTGGCAGCGGCACCAACAGCCCCATCCAGCAGGAGCCCGCATGGCTGCCGGCCTACTTCTGCGGCCGCTTGCAGCAGGAGGCCACACGGCGCATCGTGCCACTGCTGCCACAACGAGGCGAGGCAGGTGGGAGAGGGAGTGGAGCTACCCCACGCACCCTGCACCCACTTACTTCAGGACCCCCCCAACCAGGCCATTCCTTGCTCGGCGACCTTCCCTTTCTCTCCCCTCCTGAATCTGACTGCCATGCTATAGGAGAATTTCTTGCAGTCCATTTCAAAATCTTCATATATATTTCTGTAAATTTTTAAACAACCCACAGGAAATATTCTTTCATGTCCCTATTAATTTGTTTATAAATTTCCAAAATAAATATGTCGTCACCCTTTTTGCTGCTTATTCAAAAATGAACAATTTTCTTTTTAAAGTCCTTAAGTTTGCATGAAACTTCTTTAATCAAGGATATAAAGAAATTCTGCCAGAGGCTTCTTTTCAGTGCCTTAATTTTTTATCGAATATATTATTATGAATGTGTATGATAATTTTAATTAGAATTAAGTAAAAATAAGATTTTTTTTCTTTACCATTATCCTTGATCAAGAAAACATGATCCATTTAATTTTTAATTTCCTATCTTTTTTACATTGTAATATTAATAGCACTCAGAACAAACATACATAGAATTCACTGGCAATCTAATCCCGGCTAAAGAAATATTAGTTTATATGTACACATATAGTCTTGTGAAGTCATATTGTGCACGAATGTCTCATTATTAGTTAATATATGTTTACATACATGCAAAAAACTAGAAATATGCTGGAAATTAGAAAATAGATTTCTGAAGAGAATTTAATATATGTTTATATTTTAGAATTAAATGTAAATTTGGAATGTAAAAAGTTTTAGTAGTACATTTTCTTTACTATTTCCTAATTTCCAGCACTAATATACTAAATTTATTAATTTATTAAATTTATTAGTTTAAAAACAGGTATTCTGCTTGTCTATTCATANTCTCTCTCTCTCTCTCTCTCTCTCTCTCTCTCTCTCTCTCTCTCTCTCTCTCTCTCTTACCTCTCCCCCCCCCTTTCAGCTTGCCAGTCATTATGAGAGGGGATGCCATTGATAGATACTGGCCTACAGCAGATGGGCGATTGGTGGAATATGACATAGATGAAGTTATATATGATGAAGAATCAGCTTATCAGAATATTAAAATTTTACACTCAAAACAATTTGGAAATATTCTTATCCTCAGTGGGGATGTTAGTGAGTATTATCAGTTGAAAATAAACTACATTCATTTGCTATTGAATCAGGCTGGACAAAGTTTCTAATTGCGAGACTACAAGCCATAACCCATGGCTTATTAAGGGCTTGGAATTGTTTATTTCTAGGATTATTTTTCTTAAATTGCGAAACATTTATTCTATGTAAGAATTAATTGATATTTTATCAATTTTAAGTCATGAAGGAAAGGATTATTAGATGCTTGTCATCTTTTTTCTTGGATGATATGAAATAAAATATAAATATAATTGCAGTGATATACAATTACTCTTTATTGATCTTACTGTATTAAGATTATAAAATAATGTAACATTCTTATCTGAGATATGATGGCTGACTGAATTGTATGAACAAATTTCTCTTGGTGACAGAAAAGGGTTTTAGCCGGTGTAGTATGAGGTTGCAGGAAACAAATAGCTTTGAATTCATGTGGTTCAACTGACATAAATCAATACCTTTCTGCCTACTAGGCAACATTCTGCCCAGTAGGCAAAACATCACATCTTGACAGTTGCACAAGATCTACCCCCTCTTTCAAATTTCTATTGATTACAGGTAGTCCTTGACTTAAAACAGTTTGTTTAGTGACTGTTTGAACTTAACGACATTGAAAAAAATGACTTATGATAGTTTTTCACACTTATGGCCATTGCAGCATCCCTATGGTAATGTGATCAAAATTCAGGTGCTTGACACCTGCTTCATATTTATGATAGTTGTAGTGGCCTGGGGTCATGTGATCATCTTTTGCGAACTTCTGACAAGCAAAGTCAATGTGGAAGCCAGATACACTTAACAGCTGTGTTACTAACTTAACAACTACAGTGATTCACATAACAACTGTGGCAAGAAAGATCATAAAATGGGGCAAAATTTACTTAACAAATGTCTCACTTAGCAACAGAAATTAACTGAGGTCGTAACTCGAGGACTACCTGTAGTTATAAAGTTATCTTTAGAAGTTTGCTAATTTCTAAAGGATGAATGTAACACTACATATATATATATATATATATATATAATATCCATTATATAGTATCATTTGTCAGCTAACTAATTAGATATAAGTATCAACATGGTTATTGTTATTGAAAAGGTTGTATTTTTATGTTTGTTTATATTCATACGTTTGTTTTTCTGCCTTTTAAGATCTGGCAGAAAGTGACTTAGCATATACAAAAGCTATAATGGGCAGTGGAAAGGAAGATTACACCAACAAAGAAGTGCTCATTCTTGGAGGTGGTGATGGAGGAATATTGTATGAAATTGTCAAAATGAAACCAAAGATGGTCACCATGGTAGAGATATCCTTTTGATATGAGCCTGTAGTCAACAATACAAAAACAAAAGTCTTCATCTCATTCTATTTGGAACATAGATTATTGGTTTATTATTTATCTTGATTCCTTAGAGCATTATTTAAAACTTTGGCTATTGCCTATCTTAAATCTGGTCCAAATTGTATAGCATTTTATAATTCAATTGAAGATTTCTTGCTACTTTTAAAATTGTTGTACTTAAGAATTTCTGATGATCATACAAAAAAATTGTGTAAGATGGTCTAAATATTATGTAACAGATACATCTGGTCTAAATATTATGTAACATACATCTGGTCTAAATATTATGTAACAGATACATTATAATAGAGTTTTGTTCAGGCAGCTAAGGGTTGCTTCACTCCAGTGGTCCCCAAACTTTCCAGCTTTGCAGACTAGTAGCAGAGGGGAGAGGGGATGGTTCCATGCAAGCAGCGGGTGAGCTCGTGCTCACCCGCTGCTTCCGTAGACTGGTATTAGGTCATGGCCCGGGGGTTGGGGACCCCTGCTTTACTCTAGCTGGCAAGGAGGGAATCTACGGGGTGGCAGTTTTATCTGCAAGTGGCTCAGTTCTAAGGATAGATGATATAATTGGATAAAATACGCTGATTAATATCAGGTCATATGTCAAAAAATTATAATAAATAAATGTGCGTTTCTAAGAATGTTTTCAATTAATCTATTTGGCTCCAGAAAAACTGTCAACTTATTAATGTTTTAGTAGTCTGTTCATTAAACAATTTAGGCTTTTCAAGGCAGAAACAAAGACCATTATGAAGAATGTTAATAACAACAAAATGAGTTATTTCATTCTTATTAGTATCAAAAACATTGACCAAATGGTGATTGACGGGTGTCGAAAATACATGCGTAAAACATGTGGAGATGTCTTGGACAATCTAAAAGGAGAATGCTATCAGGTATATATTTTATTTATAGCATTGTATTGTTTTCTCATAAAAGTATTTGTTTCTACAAAGTACATAGAAATAAGTTCAATTATTTCTGTTATACTCTCTTCACTTTTAATATCTAAAGCCAATTTTATCAGTGTATATATTCTATTATCAATACTATTGATGTGAGGGAATGGTATTGTATATAATTGCAGGATGACCTTAATATAGAGCTAACTCTATTTAATACAGCCAATACTATTTTAAATATGCAGGAGATTTAACATTTTGAAACCACTAGGTTTTTTGGTTTGGTTTCAATTGCCCCTTTGTTGTGGGGGAGCAAAGGGAATTGTATGCTGTTCAACATCAGTCACTTTTAAATCTTGTAAATGAGTGAATAATAAATAAATGTGAAATATTTTTGGAATAGGGAATAATGTCTTGATTGAAACATAGATGATGTCTTACCGTACTACTAATAATAGAGTATATTCTTATCTATCATTATTTATGGCTCTCAACACAAATAAGTTCTATAACTTTATTTAGCATAACGAATAAAATTGGAGCTGAAATGTATTAGATATGTGCATGAACAAAAATATATTTTACTGTGGGCAAAGTTCTGGACTGGCATGGTATAGACAGAAGGAATCTGCTACCTTTGCATGCTCTGTATTCCATCAGTGTGAAATCTGAAGCAGATCCAGGAATTCCTCATAGAGCAAATTGGGATTTTGAATAGGAAGTTTTTTTATAGGACCATTAGAAAGCAGCAAAGAGAAGACGAAAATCTTTGCTCTTGTCTACTTATTGTTGGCTTCATGGATCATTACTGTACCAGTAATGGTAAAAGGAGCTTGTGATCCCAATGATACTATTGAGACTATATAAACTCTTACAATGTGCAGAGCAGAGACTTACCAGATTAAATACAATCCATGGAAGAAAGAAATGGCAAACCAATCAGTATTACAGTGATACAAGATTGTTCAGATGCAAAAAAAGCAGATGTTGAACAGTTGACACAACAAAGAAGACAAGTCATGCTAATAATAGGAGAGTAGAATGCTGTTTAAAGAAAGGATTGTGCTCATTCCCCTTTTGAGTAGCCGAGCAGAGTGTAGCTGCCCCTCTGTTCCAAAGTCCTGTATTTTGGGTCACTCTTTCTGTGAATTATGGAAGTAAAAAAAAAATGGTGCTGACATCATGATTTCTCAGTTCAAACTCCAGCAAAAGATCCCTAGATCAATATTAGTGCACATGTTTTGCATGCAAAAAATACCATGTTCAATTTCTAACTTGAGCTGTCTTGGTTATAGAGGACAAATGGCAGTCTCTGAACAATGTAGATCTATAAGAGGCCTTATATAGATACTAGTTCATTATTTCTTGGGTGACAGTACAGTTGAATTGATTTGGGCTACTTCATTCATCATGACTACTACTGAAAGTGCTAGTTAGTCACCTTATGGACATTATGTTAAGTAGACAAAATGTTACTATTTTTTTAGGTATTAATAGAAGATTGTATCCCAGTCCTGAAGAGATATGCCAAAGAAGAAAGAATGTTTGATTATGTAATTAATGACTTGACAGCTGTTCCAATCTCTACATCTCCAGAAGAAGGTTATTTTTTAAAACTTTCATTATATTTCTGCTTTATTTTCAAATAAAACATAATACCTTTGGGCATTTGTCTGAATAGGTGGGGAGCTTAAAATAGAGAAGAGAATTGTCTATTCATGCAGATCTACTTTCTATAGACTTACTTCAGCCTCCATAGGTTCTAGTGGAAAATCTGAAGGATCAGACATCTCACAACAGTGGGCATGTGCAAGGATTAAATCAACAAACCAAGTGTAGTGCCGAAAATTAAAAATAAAGGCCAATTCAAAACAGGCAGCATTAACCAGCTGAACGTGACTAACCGTCTGGTCCAAACATCTGGGGAACAGCCAGATCCTTAATGTCTTACAAAAGGCTAGCAGGATTGGAGCCATCCAAATCTTGGGTGGGATGATATTGCATTCCTTTGCAGGATGCTGTTATGCATTCCCTTACAGGTTTATTGTCAATCATTTCTTCTGAAAATCTCTTTTGTAGTTGAGTAACTTGCTATATATCTGAAGAATAGAGAGAGATAGAACAGGTAAGTGTGTACGTGAAGTATAGTTTTATAGGGTGTGCATATTAGGGGTGTGGAGGAAAATGGAGAAAAAATAATTGGCCCTCACAATTACAGATCATTGATAGATTGTTCTGCAGTGCTGGAAATGGTTTTCTAAATAATTGTCCTATATTTATAAAAAATGTTTAAAGGAAGTTCCATGCTTTGCCTTTTTATTTACAGAGCATCCTATAAATCAAACATGAATCCACTGATGTTGCAAATTGTAGTTGTTCTCATCACTTAACATTTATGAATTATTTAATTTCTAATTAAACAATTAGTACGTTTAAATTTAGATTCCACATGGGAGTTTCTACGAATGATTCTGGACCTTTCAATGAGAGTCTTGAAACCTGATGGAAAATATTTCACCCAGGTATGACAGGTGGAATTGTTGTAGATAATGTAACTATAGGGAATTTTAAAAACAACCTTGTTTAGATGGCTTTGTAGACAGGTATGTTAGGGTATGTTTGGAGCAAAGGGTAATACCAAAGCCTAGTATTAAGTTTGCATGTTCTCCTTCAGAAATGAGTGAATCAGGAATAGGTGGGGTTTTGTTAAGGTGAGTTCCATCAGAAGCTAAGATTCTCTTGAAATGGAAAAATCCTGGGAGCCACACTTTTAATAGAACATTTGCCAGTCTTACTTAATTGCATTTCTTCCACAGGGATCATAAGTTTTTCTCTTTGGTTAAAGTAAAGGTAGACAGAGGTATCCTACTTTAAATGTTGGAATATGTATGAGACAAATGTTCTGCCATGATTTATTCGTTTGTTTGTGCCAGTGTTGACTCCTGGTGACTACCTAGAGAGGTCCCTGCAGTTTTCTTGGCAAGATTTCAGAAATGGCTTTCTGTTACTTTCTTCCCAGAGGCTGAGACAGAGTGACTGGTCCAATGTCACCCTGTTGGCTTCATGCCTAAGGCAGAACTAGAACTCAGATCTTCCAATTTCTAGCCTTATGCCTTAACCACTACACCAAACTGCCTCGAACCTAGAAGAGAATCATTGCATTCTGGAAATTTTGCAAAACTGTTTTGAGCCAGCTACATTTTGGCAGAACCAAATTCCAAAATCATTGATTTTTCCAAGTCTTTGCGTCATCTACCCTCCTTCTCTCATTGCTGCCATCCAAGTCCCAGCTTGACATATCCATTAGCCAAATCAATCTTCACCCAGTCTTTCCAGAGCTTTTGATTAATTATGTTTCAGGTTACACTCTTTTATGCCTCTGAAATGTGGAGACAAATTGATTATGATTACTTCTACTGTAATTTTAAGTTACTCATAAGTGTCAAGAACCCCAATTAAGAAGAAAAGTTTTATTATATATGTAATCTATTTGATTTATATTCTGCCTTTATTTCAGCAGCTTAAGATTTCCTCCTCCTCCCCCCCCCAAAAATAACCCACTGTGGTGGGTTGGGCTAAGCAAGTGACTGACCTAATGTCACTTATTGAGAATCTGGTCTTCCATTGCCTTAACTATGCATCACACTGATGGCATTTATCAGATTTTTTAAAACTATGGTGTGCAGAACTACTAATTCCATTAGTCTCCAATAATATAAACATTTCTCCATTTTTATTAATCATTGAAAACAAAGTCTTTTAGTTTAAAAAGCACCAGGATAAGTAACATAGCACTAGGAGACATAAAAATTCATAGTTTTTGCTAAAAATGTAATTGACTCATTTTTTAAATTAATTATATACCAATTACATTATGGTTGTTCTGAGATTAACTAAAATTTTAAAATTAAGCATTATATTGTCCTGATGTGCTCTGGCTTATACTTTGTTGTGATTTTATTGTTTTTATTGTGCTTAACTATAACCACATACTACAACTCTGGCTTAGTGTATAAAATTGGGTAGCTATTTACTGGTGCCTGAATACTATTTTACGCCATTATTGAATATGACCACTAGATGGAGTTTTATCACTCCATTTTATTATAAAAATGTCAGCTAACAAATTTAGAGATTAGAACTATATGGTACATTTAACTTAAGTTGTGAGTGATGTAATCCGATAAGACTCTGTGAGGCAGTATTAGCTTTTTTCACAGAATGATAGTCTTTAAAATCTTGAATATTTATTAGATTACAAATATGCTTGATGTAATAAAAATACACAATTTTGTCAAGCTGTTATTTATATCACCTTTATTAAGGTTTAAATATGCTCTGTGGTTCTCAAAGTTTTTAATTTTCAGTGTTGTGAAAATGTCTAAATTTTAAAAAAATCTGAAAATGCATAGAACTACAATTATAAAAGTATAGTTTAATGTTTTATACCACATAGTTATATTATTATCCCATCTTGTTACATTTGGTAAAATCAAGGGGATGAACACACCTAGAACTCCTGCTTCCTGTTTTCCCACAACAGTACCCCCATGAGGTGGGTTGGACTGAGAGGAAGTGTCTGTCCCAAAGTTACTCAGCCGGTTTTTGTACCTGAAGGAGGCCTGATTTCTGGTGCCAGAACTTAAACTAAACTGGCTTACTTGAATTTTATAACTTTTTATAAGTTGTTTTTATTTTATTGTATACATTAAAGCAGGGTAAATAAATAAATAAATAAAACAGGCCTTCTTTCAGAACAATTGCTAGTAAAGATAATATTTTTGGACATTTTTTTTCTTAGAAAAAAATCATTGAAGAGAACTTGGCTTTGTGATGAGATAACTTAACTGTTTTGCTCATCGAGTCCTATAGTTCCATAATGGCTGCTGAGATTCACATTCCAAAGTATGAGATGAGAATCTATTCCTTTGTATGTGTAGGAATTCAAGTAGAAAATTAAATATTCTGGAAGTTACTATTCAAGATCTATCTATTTAACAAAATGAAATTCAGTGGTGAAAAAAGTAAGGTTCTACATTGTACAGGTATAGTATAGGGGGTACCTTGCTCAATAGTAGTAACTGTGGGAGGGACCTCGGAGTCCTAGTGGACAATCACCTAAATATGAGCCAGCAGTGTGCTGCAGCTGCCAAAAAGGCCAACACAGTGCTAGGCTGCATTAACAGGGATAGAATCAAGATCACGCGAAGTGTTAATACCACTTTACAATGCCTTGGTAAGGCCACACTTGGAATACTGCATCCAGTTTTGGTCACCACGATGTAAAAAAGATGCTGAGACTCTAGAAAGAGTACAGAGAAGAGCAACAAAGATGATTAGGGGACTGGAGGCTAAAGCATATAAGGAACGGCTGCTGGAATTGGGTATGTCTAGTTTAATGAAGA